TCAAAATGCAACTAAAGTAATATCAGTAAGACAATTACATACTTAGGAATAAAAATAAAATCGTCTGGAAGATTTCTTAACCATTTAGTTCAAACACGAGCAAAGGCTCTTCATGCATTTAAAAAAATACTCAACTTGACCCTGACAGCAGGGTTGACCGTGACCAGTATGGTGGTTTGATATTGCTTGTTTGAAAAAAGACAATTTGTGTACAGGGTTTACTTGAGTTTTGAAAAGTTAAGTTTTATTGAATCTTTTCACGGATGGCAGTAGGCTCGTAAACATGCTTTTGATGGCATTTAGTTGAGACGTAACAATCCTCAAATTAATCAATTAATGCACAATATAAACATATCCATGTGTACAGACTCGTGCTCTCCAAAGACGGTGATTATTATGTAATACGACTTCGAACTCGTTCGGACATGTACATGGAGATTTTAGACACGTGTGAAATGTCTTGTCGTCAAGAAACCAAGACAAATTGCTCCCTAGCTTTGTGTAATCGTCRGGAAATTGGCTTTAGTATTCTAACTCGAAGAATGAAGTGATCAAATGTTTACTTTGTGTAGCGGGTATCTTGGGAGCCCCATGGACAGAATCTGACCGTGAGGGGCTTGGTTCAGGTGCGACATGGAAAAAAAAACACAGCGACTGCATTTTATGACCGTGACGCAGGCCTTCAGCCTGGTCACGGTAATTAATCGACAATTGCAAGTGAGAGAGCTAGAGCAATATTTAGACTATTTATGATTCTTTGGTAGTCTCTATACGACCTGTGGGATTGAGGATTGGGGTGTTTTTGTAAAACAAAATAATAATTTTAAAAAGTGGGACAAACGTCCAAGAAAAAGGGTCATCTACGTTTTTTTCAAACTTTGATTTTTGACTTAATCATCTTATTAGCCGTAAAAATTTCATCGCGAAAAAAGTCAAAATCATCATATTAGCAACAGAAGCAGTGTTATGACACTAGTTTGAAAAAAGCTCATAAATTATGAAATAAACGAACCCAACGATTTAGAAAAATAAGTCTCGAAGGGTGCAATAAAGACAAATTATGAAAAAATGGGAACATATAAAACATAACACAAGAAGTTACCTGTTATCATGAGCGGACGTTTCGATCTCTTCTGAACGTCCTGGTCATCAAACGCTCCCTGTAGAACATGAAAACAAACACAATTAATAACTTACATTGATATTTGAATTATTACACAGCTATTTCTTAGCGCTGCTCGTATTTTATATATTACTTTTTAATTAAGCGGGTCCCTAGAAAACGAAGACCGAAGACCCTGAAAAACGAAGACCCCCGTCAATTCTCGGGAAAACAGTGTGAAACATCTTTATACTTCTTACAATCGTTTCTTCCTAATGTGTCAGATCTTTTTATGATATTTTATTGAGAAACATACTAATGGTCTATCACTCATACTGCGCTGTGATTGGCTACTCTACTAATGGTCTAATTTGTGATAGACCACTCGCGGGAAAATCAATCGTATTAATAAATTATTTAAAGGATATTTCAATTTGTTTTCATTATTTGATCGATTAGTATGTTTATACTAAAAC